GCCTCCTGAAATTTCTATTTATAAAGGAGTCTTACTGCAGGTATGTGCCAGAGGACCCATCTTGTTCAGTCAGAGATATTAATATGATGGAGGTTTTGTTTTTGTGATATGAGCTTGTGTCATTATTATAAAATTATTTCAAATGTTGGAACCAGGCAATTAGGTTCAACTGCTACTAATTTTATTAAATTTTGCTGATTTGTGTAGAAATTTACCTCATATCTTGAGGTCATGACATTTTAGTTAAAATTTTATTTTTCTCTTTCATTTCCATACAGTGTAAAAACAAAAATACTGAGAAAATTGGATTATAAATGTTCCACTGTATATGTAGCTTGGTTAATTTAGTAACAATTCAATAAATGACTGCGTTATAGTAGTGGAAGACTCATTTGTAGATTTCCTTTTTGCCAGTTCCATCTTAGTGATTTTTCCCCCCTTTTTCTGTCATCGTAATGATTCTTAAAGTGGCCTCAAAAAAGGCAGCATGGAAATGTTTTCTTTGCCCTCAAACATACAAAATACATCTGGAAGAATAAATTCACATTGGTTCATGAATTTCCTCCCTGGAGGAAATGATCCAAATTCAGTGTCAGGATTGGAGTTTGTACTCATAGATAGGCTTGCAGAATCTTGTGTGGAATTTGAAATACTTTGCAAGCAGTTGGGGAAACAATGGATTCAGACGCTTGTGTTAAGTTCTAATTTTAGATATCTCTCTCCCTCATTAACAATAAAAAATGTTTTGTGCTTCATAAAATAAGTGTCTTACTGACTTGGATTTTTGGGGACCAAAACCCTAATAATCTTATTTAAATGAGTACTTCCCCAAGTCCCATTCAATTCTGTCTTTTCATTTCCCCTCAGGAAACAGATCAAGTGCAAATGAAACCTTGTTTCAGTCACATTCTGGGAGATAAAGAATATTACACAGCTTACTTTTCAATTTTCTTTTGACTTGGATGCTATAAAAACAAAATTATTTGGACTCAACAACCGTACAACTAAACAAGGGATCTTGCCTCTGCCATTCCGCTGACTATCCACTGCAGCACAGTCCACCACCAGCCAACGCACTCAGAACCACAGAGTTAACTTTTCTAGTTTGAAAATGTCCTTTATTCCATAGAACACTGAACTGGACATCATTTACATCTGAGGAAGAGATGGCCCACAAAACTGACCTATGGATAGAACACTACCTCTAAGAAATGTAGTCCGATTTTACACACTTCCAGGCCCCCCTACACAAGTGTATCACAATGCAAAAGTATGGGGATCACTACTACATTTTACATAAGATAAAAGGGAAGTATCAATAAACTTCAGAGAGTAGTAAATTCACCTGTCCTTTAAAATACAAGTATGCCATTGTTGCAAAGCCATAGTAAATGGTTTATAAAATGCAATTTTATTTTACGTTACTCTGCTGTTACACAGAGCATAACATTTTCAAAGGCTTTTTTGGGACTACAGTCAATGATTAGCAACACACAGTAGTGGCCCAACTCTCTAAATAACAATCGCTAAACAAACTGGACACCTCTCACATGTGCACAAATCTGCATGGAAAGTACTAAAATTTTAAACTTGGACTTGTGTACTTTATTTCCCCATTCTACCGTATTAAGAAATGACATGCACTTTAATTTGCCAAAAGCAACGCTTGTATTCTGGCAGCATCATGCTACTTTATTGTCTAGTAAAGTGAACACCAGAACTACAAAGGCAGAAGGTGTAAGTGAATTTTTATTAGGAAGGGAAGTTGTCAACCGAAACAGCAGCAAATGAAGAGTGAATGAGGAAACTCCCGTTGTCACAGCTACCCAAGACCTCCACCATGTGTGACACAGGAGGCTTTTCAATTTGTGACCCGCAGCCCAGAATTATCAAATGCTTCCCATTCAACCTAATACTCCGGATTCCTGCCCAAAAGGAATACATTAAGAACATGGAAACTTGCTCACTGATAGGAAACCCCCAAAGAGTAAGGGAGGGAATGTAGAAATTAAGAAGTTATGTAAAACACTCTTTAAACTGTAATTAACTACATTTTCAGATCTTCACAGTAATACAAAACACAGTCACTTGCAGAACTGGTTCAGATTACTTAAATACCAAATGCATTTTTAGTCCTCTACGTAAGTGTTCGGAAGTTACTTGTGTTTATGTGAAATGGAGCTATTAATACTTTGCTACAGCAGTGACTGCACACCAGGAGGGCCAAGACAAACACAAATCAAGGAATGGAGTTTTCCACAGCTGCAGTGTGAACGGCTAGGAACAGCTGATTCCGTACACGTGAATGGTTTCTTTGCTCTAGGAAATCCACATGGAGGAAGGAATGGAGATGTGCACAGAGGTTTCTGGAGGGAAGGAGGACGCCACCCTGTCCGCGGTCAGTTTTCCGCGCCTTCTGCCGCGTCACATTCTTCTCCTGCACTGTCCGATGTCCATAACTAGGAAAGAAAGCGGACTCGGTTACTACGTCCAGATCAGACCATTACACCAGGTCCTGCCGTCATATCAGAATGTAATTCCGAAAGCAGTCAAGTATCCGAACAACAGAGATGGTGACTAAGATTGAAAGCTGCTCTTCTCAAAACCCAAATACCACCAACTCCCCCCAAAAGTGACCCTTGCAGACTGTTCACAAAGTGACACACATACAGACACTACTGAGTAGCTTTTAAAGCTTACTCTGAGTACTGCAATTTCAGAAAAAGCAGGCAACATCCTTAGAATTGATTGTTCTCTCATTCCCAGCAGCCCAAAAGCTCTGCATGAAAGCACTACTGAAATGCAATTCGAGATTAATAAGGCAAAAACATTTTAGGGGGGAGGAGGACTGTGATCATAACAACTATTTCCAAGTATCTGAAGAGCTATCATATAGTAAAAAAAGCCAGCTCACTTAGTGTTGCTGCAGAGGTGTGCATGAAGACACACAGAAAGGATTCGTGAACTAGGTATGATATTAAAACAAATCCAATTGATCTGAAGGATCTAGTTTTAGGATGGAATGAGGAAGTGAAAATGGAATAGTCAATATTTATCAACTATAATCAATAGCTCACAAAATGCATTTCTATTAGACCAACATCAAGACTCTGCTGGAATTTCAGAAAAGCTGGAATCTTATATAATCTTCAAGCTATTGTTAGGATACTAACATAAATAAAACAATATCCCTGAAGAACTGTCTCGATAAGAGAGAAAACAAAACCAGTGAAGATACTGACAGCACCAGGACGTGTCTGGGAAGAGGTCCAATCGCTCAGCGTGCCTTCCTTCCACAGAAGCGGTTTATGCTGTTCATTCTTCTGTAACTGAGAGCTACAGGGATTTCTAACGGCTGGGAAGACAGTGCTGTCATAACTTCCCTGCTCATGAAAGCTGAGCAGATATGGTGCTGGGACGAGAAAGAATCCTATCCAGCAAAAGTGGAAGCCCCAGCAGGGCTTGGGGAGGAGAACTACATTTATAAGACGGGGGTGGGGGTGGGGTTCCCCTTCTTCCAGTCGGTCTAAGGTTTTGACACATCAAATTTACTTGAACCTATAGAAGAAGCTAAGTAAAGCTCAACCTGTATTTTTTTTCTTCATTATTTTTTCTATTATCATCGGCTTGTCCAAGTAGTAGGAAAGAAATAAAGAAAAAACAAGTTAAGAACATCATGTTCAGCTTGCAAAGGAAAAGTTGATTAGAACAAGGCATTCCATGTGACTTTGGATATGCTTAAATGCCTACAATAGTGCCTACCTGGCTATGGCTACTATACCCAAAGCAAGAAAATACTGAAACCACCCAAACTCTCCACATGAGTAACTTTAACATCCCCACCCCACGAAACAGTCAGTGATGTGAACTGATTATGAGTTCCTGCAACCTCAGTACCATCCCAGGAGGATCTGATAAAATGCCCATCTGACTTGAAAACCTACCTACAAAACCCTAACAAGCATGTAATACTTTTTTATTTATGTATCCATAAATTGATTTTCTAAGAGAAAGTGTAGCTATTAGATAACTACCCCAAGAGATAGGGAGCCCAAAATCTATATATATAAAAGGCTAATATGCAAAGTGCCCCCTAGGGAGTTCAACTGGGCATTCAATTGCTTGCTATGACATGCGCTGACCACCAGGGGGCAGCGCGGAACATGACGGGCGACCAGCTGAAGCTGTGGGGTGCTGAGGGAGCGAGAGAAGGAGGTGGGGAACCTGATGGCCAGCCAGGTCTAGGGACCCTACCCATGCACGAATTTCATGCACCGGGCCACTAGTAAAATAAAAGCACTTTTGTTCCTGAAAAGGAA